TTTTTTTTTTTTTTTGTACCAGGAATCAATCTTGAGCCCTTGAGCTAGTGAGGCAGGCACTGGAACCACTGAGCTAAATCCCTGGCCTACTTTGTTTACTTTTATGAGTTCCAATATAATTAAAATGGTTTATCAATCCATCAAAAGTTCTCATCTGAAAAAACTAATACTCACAAAAATAAATATATAAATGGCATTAGGTGACACATATTTATATGAGCATCACCACTCTGTAATTACCACCCTGCTGGATTTTCAATGGAATGCTCACTAACAAGTAATTACTCAAGAGGGTATATCCCCAAAGTCTCAATTTCTCATAAATACAGTCTTGCTTTATATTGATAGTTCTTTGGTATTTGTCCTTATTATTGACATATACACATTTGCAGGTAATAATTTTCCTTTTCTATGGCTACAGGAATATTTGTTTTCATTTTTATATTAGCAGTTAAGTGATGGTTATTTTAAAGTATTTATTATTTGTTCTGTCTTCACTTATTTCTATTCAGTGCTTAGTATTATTATGTACATCATCTTATTCAAAGCAAGCATTCTTTGAGTTGTTTTCTTTAAACAAATAAAATAATGATGAGTATTGAATAGTTTGCATGAATTGCTTAGATTTCATAGATTGTTGGTGACAAAGCTGGAATCTGATCCTGGGCCTGTGGGAGTCCAAAACTCATGGCATTTTTGGCCAACATTTTGCTTCTATTGCCATATCGACACACATATCAACTCTGCTTTTGTGTAATATTCACTCACTTCCTTTAAGATTATAGTTTCAAACAGTCTTGAGTCTTAACAGAGTTCTGAGATCTGTCTCCTGCAAAGAAAAGGAAGGTAGCACTTTAGCTCAGCCCCATATAGTGTTTGTAATACATGTTATTGCTCAGTCAATTCACATATAACATTATTTAAGCAACTCTGTTAATAATTAAAAGGTAAAAATGTGGCTGACAGAGCACATGGTGGTCAATTCCAGTGTGTTTATGCCAGTATGTGCCTGTAAATACTGTCTACTTGTCACTGAATTCTTTGTGTTTGTTTGTGTGCTTGTTTTTGAGACAGTCTCACTATATAGTTTAGGCTGGCCTTGAACTCACTATGTAGCCCAGGATGGCCTGGAACTTGTGAGGATCCTATTGCCTCAGCTTCCCAAATGCTGAGATTAGAGGAGGGTGCCAGCATACCTGGTGACATTGAAATTCTTGAAAGAAAAGAAAGTTGTTCCTCTACAATAATAACAATGCACACATAATTTTAGTTTATTAAATTTTTTCAAAAAGTTTTTTTTCTGAATAGTCCTGGTCATATGTCAGTGAACATTTATTTTATCATGTTCTTGCTTTAAGTGTTATATGAAAGCATTCTCCCCAAATTAGAAAATTGTCTCTGTTTTTATAATTTATATTACATTGTTATTGTAAAAATAAATATGCAAACTATACTGTTTTATTTTATTCTAACATCTGTTTATTTTTCTTTCAGTGGTTACCATTCTCAATATACATGGGGATTGCAAACTACACAAGGGTGACAGAGTTCATTATTTTGGGGTTAACAGATGATACCACAGTTTGTGCCATTTTATTTATTGTGTTCTTAGGAATCTATTTTGTCACTTTAATGGCCAATATCAGCATTATCCTGTTAATCAGAAGCAGCCCTCAGCTCCATACCCCAATGTACCTTTTCCTCTGTCATTTGTCCTCTGTAGACATTGGGTACTCCTCATCGGTCACTCCTATCATGCTCATGGGCTTCCTCAAGAAAAGAATTTTTATATCTGTTGCTGGTTGTATAGCCCAACTCTGTTCTGGGGTGACATTTGGGACAGCTGAGTGCTTTCTGCTGGCTGCAATGGCCTATGATCGGTATGTGGCTATCTGCTTGCCCCTACTCTACTCCATCCACATGTCCCCCAGGGTCTGTGTTCTCTTAGTGGGAGCTTCCTATCTGGGTGGTTGTGTGAATGCTTGGACATTTACTGGCTGTCTATTAGTTCTGCCATTCTGTGGACCAAATGAAGTCAATCATTTTTTCTGTGACTATTCACCACTTTTGAAACTTTCTTGTTCTCATGATTTTACTCATGAAATAATTCCAGCAATCTCTTCTGGCTCCATCATTGTGGCTACTGTGTTTGTCATTGCTCTCTCTTATGTCTACATCCTCTTCTCAATACTGAAGATGCGCTCTGCAGAGGGGCGGCGAAAGGCCTTCTCCACCTGCACCTCCCACCTCACTGCAGTCACTCTGTTCTATGGAACCATTACCTTCATTTATGTGATGCCCAAGTCCAGCTACTCCACAGACCAGAACAAAGTGGTGTCTGTGTTCTACATGGTGGTGATCCCCATGTTGAATCCTCTCATTTATAGTCTAAGGAACAAAGAGGTTAAGCAGGCCATGAAAAAATTGATGGCCAGAACTCATTGGTGGTCATGAGAATTCTGGCTTTAATAATAAGCACAGTAATATGAAGACCCCTCTGGCAGGCAAAAGGGTAACACACTAACTAAATTTAGGTTTATATCTATAGTACTCTACACCTATAAATTTCATGTCTCATTTTCAAGAAACTTTTCAGTATAAAAATTAAGCATTGATTCACTGAGGAACAGCTGGCAAATGACTTTTTGCTTTATTCTTTCTCCATTGACCATTCTTGCATCTGTAAGTACAAATTTTTTCACATAAAGATTTGTATTCTTTGAATACGGCTTTGGAATTACAGCTGCAGAATCTGATGGAATCCCTCAAATGGAAATGAAGAGTAATGTTACCATTCAAGGTCTCAATCTAAAAATGTTGGTCTCTGTGCTCTACTGCAATGTTGGGTTGAAACTGGTGGTACAGCTGGTTGAAAATTTTCTGTTACCCCACGATCTGAGCCTGACCTGCAGGATTCCTCTGTAGGTGAGTCTAATCCAGACAACTTGGACTATATCTTAAGCTTTTCCTTAACTACTACCTTGTTCTTTCAGGAATACGTTTCATCAGATACCTAAGGAGTCCCATAAGATAGTCTAGTGGATGTTGGTTAGATTGACTTGTATCCTGTGGCTATGAAGAAGTAAGGACACTTTTTATAAGCTCTTTCAATTTTGGGAATTGTATGCTGTACACTTGTATATTATTTGTGGAACCAGTTTTTCTCTTCTATTTCTATTGCCTCTGAAACTGAAAAATCTTGGGTTCTTGTACATAATCCTCTGGAAAATAGTGTAACAGCTCTGAAAACACTTTCCTTGAACCAGAATACTTTTCATTTTTAATATTTAAAATTATCTATGTTACTATAGACCCTTTTTGTTTACTCAGTTGTCTCTTCTAGATGAAGTCATTTTAAACAAAAAGTATGTTTTTAGAAACTCATTTTTTCTTCAATCAAATGTAACAGATTAATCTTAATACATATAATATCATCTGATTTTTAAATTTAACCAGCAGCAATTATACTGTCATCAACATTAATTCAATTTTCTTAAATGTTGCAAGAAATAATACCCACATTTCTGGACCTCTGTATTGCAGTTTTAGCAATAGATTTTTGAAATGGAAAGTTTGGTTAAAGTCGTCTAAATTTTACTTGTATATTCAGGCCCTTCCAAATAAACCTGAGGTATCAAATTTATTGAATTAAATTACTTTTCTGATCAAAATATCTAGGTGTTTTACTCTTTTCTGAGTTAACCCTAACCTCATCTGACCTTCATTTAGGGTCACTTCATACCCAGATGTTACAAGAATATCACAGTGTTCTCTGGGAATAATTGATCTACATCACAAGAGAGGAGGAATTCACCTTGCCTCTTAGATTCTTGTGCAATAGTTGGAGATATTTTCTAACTTATTTGTGTAAATGCACATGATGAATTTGTATTTCCTTTAGGATTTAGGTATGAAACAGCAGGAAAGAAAAAATTTTAAATCTTTGTTTTTCTCAAATAATATAAAATTATACAGAAGATTCTTTCCATGTGTAGTCTTTCCAGAAGTCAGCCTCAGCCTGGCTGTGCTTAGATTGGTAATACGCAGTTTGGAGCCATGTCCACCTATTACCCAAAACATGATGACCCCAAATGACTCATAAAGTAACTGCATATCTTTCAAGGTTGTAGCAGGGAATGAGCTGGGTATATCAAGTGTTTGATCCATAGGAAATTTTTACTTTAGTTTTTCCCTATCATTATCATCTGTTTTACATTGTCTTCTCAGGCAACTGAAACTCTATTTCTCAGAAAATTAAAATTGAGTAAACATATTCACTTGTTCACTACAAAATGTCTTGTTCACTACAAAATGTCAGCTGCTCACATAATCAAAGAGAAGGAAAAGAACTGAATTTAACTGGGGTTAAGATTCTGACAGTGGAGCAGGACAAAGGGAAAGGTCAAGTTTATGAGTACGTGTAAGGGGATGATGATTATGGTTGTATATCAAATCTAGTCTGGTGTGGAGGGAAATGAGACTATGCAATGAAAAGATTGTTAGGTCAATAGATTAGAGTTCCTTGTAGGAGTAAATGATTTTTGGAGCACAGTCACCTCAGCTGTTAATCCAGATTCCTAGAACCCCTAGACTAAATTCATCATGAGGTATACATCCCGTTCAACCCCCATATAATATCTGACTGAATCTTAGTATCTTAAGGTCTTAAGGATGCTAATGACCAGTGTTTTATATGTCGTGTTTCATATGTATGTGATAGAGACAGCGTGTTCATTCGGTAGTCCACCCATCTACTCACTCATCCACCCAACGTACATGAATTAAGCATAAAAATAATACCAAGGCTTAGATGTTATAAAAACGAAGAATTCAGCCTTCGCCTCAAAAGGATAGCTAGAGAGGCAGGAGAGATAGGAAAAGAACAAAAATTTAGATTAGTGCTAAACTGCTGATATTTAGATGACACCATTGAGGTACAGGAGGATAAAAATTCTCCAGGGAAGAAGAATATGGGTACACTCCAGCATTCATAGGGGGTCTGGGCTGAATATTTTTCACTTACATCTCCAAATTCGTGTTTCTTTGGACTTCCTCTCACCAACGTTTTCCTGGAGACCTCCATCACTCACTGCTTACCTTCCAGTAGAATATATCTATTAGACCCTAGCACAGCTCCCTTCCACAGAGGTTCATCTGTCTTCCAGTGGTAGATTAATTCACTTGTAAAAAGTATGATTCTGGCACTATATGAATGATAATACCTGCAAGTTTGGGTTTTGCCCTACAGAATTATAAATACATCTTCAAAAAATTATGTGAGCCAAAATACGTGGTTCCAGTTTCCAAGAGGTGGAGGAAAGAGTGGACTCTTTCTCACTAAATAACACCATATTTGTTTCCTATAATGATGTAAGAAATTGATATAATTTAGTGTAGACATGCCAAGTTGTTATCTTATAATTCTAAATGTCAGATGTCTAGACGGTTGTCACTGGATTAATCAAAGATGTGGCAGGTTTGGCTTCTTCTGCAGGTTCTAGAAGAGAATGCATTTCCTTGGCTTTTTGAGATTATAGAAGCCCCCTGTATTCTTTGGCTTGTGGCATTTTTCCTCAAAATTCAGTCAGCACTGTTCTATCTCCTGCACATTTTTATAGTCACATCTTCCCTTGATTGTCAGTCTTTAGTCACCCTCTTTTGTTTATAAATACACCTTTAATTATATTGATCCCACCTGGACAATCTCTTAATCAGTTGTATAGCAATCTCAATATCATCCACACCTTTAATTTCTGTCTGCCAGGTAATCTAATACATTTCCAGGTCATAGGATTAGTTTTTGGGGTAAGCATTATTATGTCTGCCACTTTCACTAAAGAAAATTTTACTTTGCAGAAATTGCAGGCCCCAGAAATCTTCCCTCTAAATACCATCAATGTATCAAGAGCTAGAGTTCAACAATTTTCATATTTTTATGTAAAACACAAAATCCACAAATTGTATATTCATTAGTGAAAAATGCATGAACCAAATAGCTAGTTCTATAATTCTTTCTTGTTATACTTCATCCTGCCATACAGAAGCATCTATTGTTCTGATTTTTTTTAACTGACTTAGTTTTAAATTTTCATGCAAATAGATTGAATAAAAAAAGTACGCCTTGCCGGGCGTGGTGGTGCATGCCTGTCATCGCAGCACTTGGGAGGCTGAGGCAGGAGGATTGCTGTGAGTTCGAGACCAGCCTGGGCTACATAGTGAGTTCCAGGTTAGCCTCATAGTGAGACCCTGTCTCAAAAACAGTACACTTGTTTAAAACACAGATTTAAACTTACCATGTTTTTGAAATTTATCCATATTGTGTGTATAAAAAACCTACTCTTTTATTTTTGCTAAATTGTCTTCCATTGCGTGAATAAACTAGGGTGTTTGACCATTCTTCTGCAAGTGGAAACCTGAGTTGTTTCTATTTTGTGACTGAGAACAGAGGTGGCTTTGGAGAATAAATTAATGAAAAAGAGAATAGAAATTCATTATAGAAAATCAATGAGACTTCAAGCCATTTCTTTTATATAATTTATATGACAAAATGTATAAGATTTTAACTAGAATCACCAAGAAAAAAATAAGAGAAAATTCAAATTACTTGGACTAGAAATGAAAAAGAGGGTACGGAGGTACAGTTCACTGAGAGAGCACTTGTCTACCATGTGCAAAACTCTAGCTTTGATACCTAGAACCAAAATGGGGTGGGGGGAGAATATGAAATTCTTAAAAAGAATTGTATTGTGAAAGAATACTATAAACAAGTGCCTTGAAAATAAATTAGAAAACTTAAGTGGAATGGAGAAATGCTTAGAAAGAATGATCAGAGTCAACTCAAGAAGAAATGATCTTAATAGACATATAATACATATGTAATCTTTTTTTGAATTAATAATAAACATTGCCATAAAGAAAATTCCAGGCCATAATATCTTGGAGGCGTATGGACCTTAAATCTTCAATAAAATATTAGCATACTATCAAAATTGAAAACAAGCAAACAGAATTGCCAAGTGGGTTTATCTCACTAATGCAAGGTTGGTTTTCCATTTGAAAAACATTGTAGTATTTCATACCAAGAGAATAAAAAACAATTCATATGATCATTACAAACAGGACAGAAAAATTATATGAAGAATTCTTATGGACTTTCATAATCAAATGCTAAGCAAAGTGGGAGTAGAAGAGCATTGCCCTAACTTGATTTAAGAAATCTATATAAAAGCCATGTTGCAAATTATATTCAACAATGGAAGATTGGATGCTTCCCCTAAGATCAGAAATAAGACAAAGCTGTCTGTTCTCATCACTTCCATTTACCATTTAAAAGGAGGTACTGGCTAGTAGGTAAGAAAAGTAAAAGATATCAACTGTAGATGGAACTGAGCATTTTCAGAGGCATTTTGTTGCCTTGTTTTCTCAGGTTTCTTTGTGTATGTGTGTGCCTGAGT